GTGACATAAGAATTATGAAGTCCACCGCTTGCAATACTAAAGAGTCCTAAGTTGAAAGGTCAAGAGCACAAACCTAAAACCCTTTTTTATTGTGGTTAAAAATATGGAGCTTATCATAGTATCCATAATTTCCATAGGCTAAAATAGCATCAAATGAAAGCAATGCGCTCTAGAAGCCTCCATAGACATGCTCAAATTAAAGAGTCAATCAGCTACTCTAGTTCTAGAACTTGAAAGAGACACACACACATGTAGCACATCAACACAACTCAGTATCCCAATGAAGCATTAAGTGTATATTAATCAAGCATGAAAGTCTGTACATTTATCAGTTTGCTACCGAACATAAAAAAAAACAAAAAAACTCAATATCCTATATTGATGAAATTTGGTTGCTTAAAGATGCCCTATTAACCTAACAAAAAATAGAATCAATCAAACCCTTAATCTCATAAGTGGGGTCGGCTACATAGACCAAAAGTTATTATTCCGTTAACAAAAATTAGAATGATAAACAAAATATTTGTAAAAGACATTGCAAGCTAAAAGGTCTCCCAATCAATGAAAGCTGAAATAGCCACCAAGTAAATTTACACAAAACAATAAAAAAAATCCAAATCAAATAGAGATGGATACTGACATCTAGAAATAGTAGTGCGAACCAGAACACGAGCTAAGAGGGCTTTCTTCCTGACCTCGTCTTCCTGGAAGCTAAGAACACTTTTTTTCTCAAAAGGGGAAAGGATATCCTGATACTGCTTCAAGAGTGATGTGCTCTTTATTTCATTAGGAATAACATACCACAAGTGAGTTTCCCTATAAAAAGTTCCACATGCACATCAAATTTCTATTAATTACACCATTGCCTAACAAGAAATTGAAAAAATACAATTTAAATCCATTCTACTCAAAGTTGGAGAATAAAGGTAGAACATATGTACCCTCGAGGTGGTAGAGGAAGACGATGCAGAGGCTGACTGGAGAGAGAAAATTGCCTGTTGAAGCAGCACATGTTCGTTCATTATACCAACGGAGTTGATTGTTGTTGTGAACTAATAAAAATTAGGAAGCACCTATAGACAAAGCACAGACAATTAAAAAACTAAGATGGGAAACATCGAGGTAGCCCCAATTTATCTAGCGGATAAAATAACCAAGTAAATTTGATGGCAAGTTTGTAAATAAAACGAGGGAGCCCCAATTGATCTCAGAGATTGACAATCTAATTTATCTCCTCTCACAAATTTATGTGTTGAAATTTGTGCCACTTTATTATTTTACTTTTATCATTTAAAAAATAAAAGAAAATGAATAAATTGTGAGAGGAGATTTATTCACATGATTTATCTCAGAAATCAACTTGAATTTACCCAAACCATGTGAAAATGTGTCAGCTGAATAAAAAATTGTAAGAAAGCAAAAGTAAGCAAAAAGGTAGATATCGTCTGTGTTCGGCGTTACATAATGTTCAGTAACCATGGTCAGTAGTAGCAGGTTATTGTATATTTTTTCTTTCAAGAAACCACTGGCAGCTAAGGAAAGAGAAAACTAGTGAATCCTAGCTTTGGAAAAGTGGAAATTTCTTGCTCATAAATAATTTTTTGCGTTTTTCCATGGATGAATGGCGAATTGCTTGGAGTCATTAAAATTAAACCCTGAAATCAGTTGACCATCTGAATTTGTTTAAGGTATTCTCTTTTATTTTATTTTTTTGGACAAAGTGTTCATTGAACGAAAACATTATTATAACCTAAACTGAGTAAAAGAAAGTGATATACAAAGCACACACTATAAACCCTGAAATCGGTCTACCATCTAAAGGGGCAACCATCTGAATTTGCTTAAGGTATTCTCTGTTTTTTGGACAAATAGATCATTGAACGAAAAACATTATTACAACCTAAACTGATTAAAAGAAAGTGAAATACAAAGCACACACACTATAATTACTAGCTCATATAAACCTGTCAACACAAACCATACTTGTGCTATGCAACAACATGAACCCATAACATATGTTGGTTGTATTGTTGTAGCAGAATAACAGAAAGTGTAGAGATTAGGGTAGAAAACTTGAAAAGGACCCAGTAGACACTAGTAGAACTTGGCAAAGGAAGGGAGCAATAAAAGGAAAGAAAACCTATGGTCTAATCTAATTGAGATAAACTTATGAGCAAAGTTTGATGCTCACAATAAAAGCAATCCCAATGACCCAAAGTAAGATCAGTCAAGTGGGATTCTTGGCTCTTTACCATAACTGGAGTGACATTTTCATGTGACTCATAACCCATACGAAAGGGTACAGTCGGTTTATCCTCCTGAAATAGAATGAGACACGACTTCACTAGCGCGCTATGAACCCCCCAAACCATATGCAAGGGGAGCCTCTTTCAGATAGACATTTTTGAAAACAATGACTTCAAACATCATTGCTAACCAACATTTGGAATTTCCTTCACGACCCTCCAATACTCAATCATAGAACAAAAAACACAATCCTTCATCTATCTACAAACAACTGCTAGACCACTACCTATATACATTCTCTGATTACCGACAAATAAATTAACTAAACTAATTCATTACTCCTTAATACCAACAAACTAATCACAAGTTCATAACATTATTGGTCGGATTTGATTATAAAAAAATAAAAAACAATTAAGAACATTATCATCCATTCATATTAATTTGAAAAATAAATATACAAAATTCACCCAATTTAATTTCACAACACCAAGAAATGCATTTTGGGTCGAGGCAATTCAAAAAAGACATGTAATTGACTATGTTTTTGAACTCATACCATGTTTATCAGATGCTTTCGAATTCTGCCACAGACGTTGCAAGTCGCCGGCTCCTTCTACATGGTGGCAACTACTTCACCAAGCATATCCGACTCCAAAATCGCAGTCGACGGGTAATAATCTGTTGGAAGTTGTTGATATAAAATAAGAGGGATGGGGAAAACAAGAGAGAGAAAAACAAATGAACGGGGAAAATCCCACGTTGGTTGGGGGAAAGGTTTTTCCTTGTTTTTATATTGTAGTGTCTTAACACTACTTAGTTGAGTGAGTGGGAGTTAAGTGTTACTCCACACACACATGCGCGCGCGTCGAGCCGGGCTCGGAACTTAGGTCTTGGGGAATGCGATGCGCGGGCGTGGGTCCTTGTTATCTTTTTGGAGGAATTTTATTTCTTTTTCCTTGTTAAACAAAATATTCTTTTTATGTCTGTTGGGAATATTCTTTTCTGTCTGTTGGGAATATTCTTTTCTGACTGTTGGGATTACGGAATTAAGTCAGTCATTAATCCCTTGATTATAGCTGATTAATTAATTCCTTGTTTCTTGCTTACGTTGTTGACTGGTTGAATGAATCTGGTCGTTTTCTTAGCCAGATTCGTACCTCGTTTTACGTTTCATGTCTCCCTTCTTCTGCCTATATATACTCGTTGCTTTTTCCAGTCAAAAATACACAACACATTCAGTTATTTCTCCTCTCTAAAATTATCTAAACACGAGCTTCTTCTGTTATGTTTTCTGGGCAAGTATTCTGAGTTCCAGTCGGGTTTGTGAGTGCACATAAACTCCGGCGCCGTGCTTATCCTGGAGGGCGACCGCTTCTAGTCTACTGCACCGGGAGGTAGCGCGGAATCGTCTTTTAGGTCAGTGGTTTTCCATGACGCGGCTATTGTCACTTTGGTTCACGCATCAAGAGATAAGTAATTTCTGTTTTATTGCTTAGTAGTATAACATAATCTACCAGAGGTGGTGAAAGGTGGGATCTCACCTGGTTAAAACTTACAAGTCAAGGTTAACTAAGGCAGTCAAGACTCAAGAGACGAAAGAGTTACAACTTACAATCGGTCACCTTTTAATTCTGAATTTCTCACTCATTTAGTGGGTGATTTCACACAATCACCCCTATCCACTTATCGAGTGTAGGAGATAAACTTGAATTTTCTCGGGAAACATCTCATATCCCAATTCCCATAACTATATACGGAGTGCTTCGTATAATATACACATCAGCTACCTAATTATTTTCAATTTTTTATTTTAATAAAGTCTTAAAATAATTGATAATGAGTTCACCTACCTGCAGCGATAACGCATAAATCCTTGATTTTATACTTAAATTTTACGATTTTGTTACCCTATACAATTGAATTTTCCAAGTTGTGCCCTTTATTTTGGAAAGTTACACATTGTAATCTTTTAGTACAATAGTAACCATATGGTTACCTAGTTGTTATGTAGTAGTTAACGGGGTTAATTTTTTTAATTCTCGATTTTATGTGCCTAAAATGTTTCATTAAAAGTTTTCAGATCATTTTAGGGTTACAGGAACCCAATTGAGTTCGAATTTGACAAAAAAAAAAAAAAAAACTTTTTTTTTTAAGAATGACAAAAAAATAATTTAAATGTCTCAATTTGTGTATCTATCACTTTTACATAAACAAGTAATCCACTATCTCTTTTATTTTTATACTCCGTAGTTTATAATTCACCATCAAATATAGAATACATAAAATTTAACAAAAATACAACTCAGCCACCTTAAATTCTTTAATGTAATAATTGATGATCTACTAAGGCTAAATCATCAATGCCAAACTTTTCATTTTGGTTTAATGGTGAACTTGTAAATTACTCTAGGTGGGTACAAGCAAGAAAATAATGCAAGGCAGAAAGTGTGGCAACTAGGCGAGTAACCTCGAGGCAACAAAGCAATAGAGTCCACAACCAGGTTGTGGCACAACTCTAGCCTGTCAAGATCTCTTCAGCGGCTGATTTGCAGGAATTGTTGAAAGCTTTAACATGGTGATGACAAGTTTATCACACGCACAGCAGCACTAGGCTAGTCCCTAACTAATAGAGTACTTCATATGTCCAACACCAACCGATTTCATGGAAATCATATACACTCCAATATAAATGGATTATTATGCAAAAACCACCACAACGAAATTGCATCTTTACGAAGTCAATCACCATATCGAGCTATCAACCAAACCATTCTTGCATTCAACCATTACTCACCATTGTTCAAATTATTCTCTGAGTTACAGATCACCGCTTTATCTAATATAATTGCATAAAGCCAAAGCAAATTAAATACCCAAAATGGTCCTAATCTGGTTTGGGGGATGTCTAGCTAGTGATTTTGGATCAGGGTATGAATTCTTGGGATCCATTATTGCATTGTGCACAAGCTCGTAAGCATCAGCAAGGGACTTTGCCAATTGGATACAAGCTTCTGACCGTAGTTTTGGCACCTGCAATTGCTCAAATTCTGGTAGAGAATTTTCAGTGCCCAGGATGAGACCAAAGAATATGTTGAGACTTTCCGATAATGAAGCTGGAGAAGTTTCCTCCATTTCTGCCAATGGACCAGCGGTAGCCTCTTCACTATCCTCATTGAATGTTTTCCTAAAGTTGGCCATCTTGTTCAGTAGATTACATCTTCTTAGAATGGTCTCAACTTCTTTATTGACCAGAATACGCATGTGATTTTCTATCATATCACCGATGCTCTTAGCATATTTGGCTGCAGCTTCATGCCCAATTAGTGGCTGTTGGATGGTGCATAAGCAGTTGATGAGGAAGATCTTAGAAGGTGTCTCGGAACTCTGCAAGTACATGCACAAAACAACATGAACACAAAAGTAATGTTGCACAAAAACCGGCCAGACTTCATTGCTCCCTGCCTTTCAGGACAGCTCTAACGTCAAGGCATGTCTGTTTATTATAATTTTAAAGGCATTTATAAGACATCTTAGGACATGTGACACTTGTATAATACTCCAGGAGATCATTGTTATTTACTACGAATTAATTCTTGGTAGTAACAATGTAACAAGGATTTTTTTTATTTTATTTTTTATTTTTTTCAGGAAAGGATTTAACATGGAAATTAATAGGACATATAGGTGTTTTTGATATAGATATCAATTTAATTAAAGTTATATAATTTTTGGGATTGCATTTTCTTGTGTCCTTATTGTATCGTAACTGTGTTCCTATCCATTTCAGTGCAACATAATATCTTCCAAACAGGAAGATAAATTCCCCTTACTTTCTATTCCAATTACCCATAAAAGTCAAACAGGCTGCAAGTTCTAGGAAGATACAGAAAAAAGGATAAGCAGGGGCAAAATCTCTGCAACTAGTAGATACTAAAAGAGGATTTTGAGAAAAAGAAAGATCAAGACATAAGCAATTCTATACCTGAGTGGCTGAAAGGGTACTGTTATTACTCAGTATTGCATCAACTGATGATTTGTTAAGCTGATTGGAGTCTGAGCTTATTCTGCTCCTCCTCGATGAGTGAACACCTCCTTTGGATTTGTGTGCCTCTGCTGCTTGTTCACACATCTACAATAAAGGGGAACACTATTTAGTTTCTCAAATCTGATAAGCACTCATGTTTTGACTTAAATTTCTCCATGTGGACAATGCAAAAGGACAAAATATTGGCGAGTTGCATTCTATTGCTACCCCCTCTATGATTTTGATAGCGCATCTTTTACTTGTTTCAGCAATGTCGTCAATCAGGGTCATAATAGGCAAGTAGGTCCTTGACTGGATCCCACATCAGCCTCATGATGTTGGTAAACTGAACAAGTAAAAGCTTATCCTCAAGAAGCTTCAATCTAAATGGCCTGGAAAACTCGCTAGGATATTATTGAACCAAACAAAGAACAAGCTATCAAACCAAATAAACAAGAAGTACATAAACTGCAAGACAAATAAGCTTCTCTCCAGCTGCTTTGTTTTTATCCTATTTAACATTAGATGTACATTGACTTTCCCTACTAATTACTGAAGCTACTAAGTTCGCATGCAGGGTACATCAGAACTTAATGGACTGAATAATGGTATATAAACCCATTAGGAGGCTATTATAGACAAAAAAATCTCAATAAATCTAGGTAGGGATAACTCCTGGATTTTGACAGCTAAAACCTTTTCTGCGCTGTTACCCTAACTAGATTTTAGCTAAAGTTTTGGATAAATTGTACATTAATATCTCATATACTGATGATGGCATAAGATAATTCTAAGAAAATAATCTGATCAGAGTAACATGAAGAGATAGTCAGCCCTTGACTTCAGATGATTATGAAGGTGTGTAGCCTGAATGATGCTAGAACTGATTATATTGAAGGAATAATGACATTGAAGTTTTAACAGTGAAAATGTTCCAAGTACAGAAAAAGTAAAAGACTCTAGAACTCCAAAAGTCCACGAGTCATCACAAAAGAGCAAAAGTCCATCAAGATCTCAATCCTTCCAAATTTAATGAAAATACCAAGCTTTCCCAAAAAAAAAAAAAAAAAATGTCTTCCCATCCATTAGCACCGTAAATAACCATAACTGCGGGAAAAAAAATCATTGAGATAGGGTAGAGAGAGCATAGGTAAATGGGAAGATGAGATTTCAGATTTCAATATATTTCCTCTAATCAAAGTCAAAATTAAAAATTGCAAAAACTTATTTGAAACGGTGATATGGGAAAGGAGCAGAAGAGTGTTTTTTTTTCCCCCTTTTAACAGTAACATTTAGCCTCCTGAAATAGACCCATTGCAGGGCATTTCCATGTACAAATAAGTTTAAACAGTGTGGCAATACAATTGGCTAGTCATTGCACATCTCCAATAGTCATAAACTGAAAATAGCAAGTATCAAAGTTAACAGCATTACAATCTACAATTATAAAAAAGGACAGCTACATTAAATGGAGATGAAACATATTGATTTAGCATTACGTTAAATATTTTCTCAAAAATGAAAAATAAGCAACTAAGTCTTTCACCTGAATAATAGGATCTAATAAAGCAGATATCACAGGATCAAATGCGGGCTTCTTTGAAGATGGGATCATCATGCTATCATATGTCTCAATTATTTCCAGTAAAACAGAAACTCCTTCTCTTACAGCAGGCGGTGGTGAAAGATCCACAGCAACAAGTGGAGGGTATCGAAGTAGCTTCTCTCCTCGACTCTTAAGGATATCAAAAAATGTTTTCTGAGCAGCTTCCTTCAAAGTCCAGAGTGTTTGGCAAAGGGCTGTTTCACTCCCTGTCAAATCCAATATCTGTGAGGGCAGCAACATAAAATTAGTACAAAAATATATATCATTAATTAGAAAAAAGAACAGCTTTGAAAAGACTTCTCACTAGCTCACCGTGTATGTATAAAACTCCAGCTGGTTAATAAGTTTATATGATACTATAAGACTAGGTTGAGACTGTAATACTTGTTCAACTCTAACTTTAAACGGCCTGCAAACTCCTTCAAATATCCGATCAAGGACAAAGGTTAAATCAGATTCAACTTTTCCACTTTCACCTTCGGAATTCTTGGAGAGCTGACGTGCAGTTGGCCCAGAATCTACATCAGCATCCGGATCAAGCAAAGCATGCACAAGTTCTCTTTCAGAAGCTAATGCCTTTGAAGGGACATAAAGGAACACACTTCAGAAAAAAACCTCTAAAAATGTCTTAAGGCCTTAAGCAACAATAAAAGCTAGCCAGAAATGCAGAAAAACACTAAATAGAGTAAATACCAAAAAGACGAGTGTGTCGAACCTGATGTAGCCATGCTAACATATCACCAACATACCGCAAAGGATCATGGGCATGCACTTCAATAGGTCTGGGCAACCCACCAGGTCCTCCGCGAGTAAGAGCACTAATAAACCTTCGGAATAAGGCATTGTGCCTCATATTTGCTACCTAGAATATAGTATATGTATGAGAAGACATCACATGTCAAAACAATAATTTTTGTTTATACTTCCTCCACTTTTTTTCGTTGGCACATTTCTAACATCACGTTTTCTAAAGCACAATTTTAACAATTAATATCTCTAATTATCAACATTGTAAAATTATAAAAAGTGGATATTAATTAAAACTAAAAATACCAATGAAGTATATTAAAAGCTGTAGCTCATGCAATGACCAAATTACCTCTTCAGCACAGTATTTGAAAAGAACAGGCCTTTCATTGAGACATCGGACTGCTGTTCTTAAAAGTTCACTAACTTCAGGATTATCAGAATCTCCCAATCTCCTACACTCAGCCTGAACCCATCTGGAAAAGAGAGGTGTATAAGCATATATACTAAGTTACACTAGCACAACTTGAGGAATTTAACCATACAAAAGAGAGAGAGAGGGAGAGAGAGAGAAAGAGAGAGAGAGAGTATAATCAAAATTAATCAATGGCATCTAAAAAATCCAAGCGAATATAATATAGAAGATTTTAATGCAAGAGATGTGTCTTCACAAGTCAAAAACTATATACAGCAACTCATAGTGTATTAATATCGAATATATTAGGGTAAGTAAAAGGACAATTAAGGCTTATTAGGAAAAAATCAAACTCCTCAAGAGTTGGCTTGTATAGTAGAGATAAGCAAACTACTCAGAAGAAGAGCATAAGATGGTAAAATACCCACAGGTAGATTAAAAATTATACAGATTAAGAGTTCAGGTAACAAACATGTATCGTGCACTTGCCTTTCTAGAATCACGTAAAAGGGCAAGAAAAAAGAAAAACACCTTCGTTTGAGATCATGTAGCTTGATGATTCAAATAAAAACTTTCCTTTCCTTGCCCTCTTACAATAGCAGCATAAATACCAACTTACCAAGTACTCGATATGTGCCCATTGAACACTAAATACTATGCTTTTATGAGAAATATCATAATGTATTCTCTCCATTTTTGAATTTTTCAACATATATATTAAAGCATATTTATGCTCCATATTAGATTGATATATCATAGAGGGATAGCTGTTTTGGGTGTGCACCAATGGTTTGATCCAGCTAAATTTGGGGAGTTTATACTGATTTTAGCCAGGTTAGAGTATCAAAAGCTTATCCCATTCAAACATTCAAGGGTTAGATTTTCATGGTTTAAACAGATTCCAAGCATAATTGGTGAATCCTTACCCCCGACCCCCTTTATAAATAATATATGTGTATGATCCCTTTTACTGTTCCCTCAAATCTAACAAAAAATCAATCACCTTTAGCATATTAGCACAATTTCAAGTAAATTGCATAGTTATATGTCATAGAAGAAGAATTTAACCTGCAGAGACGTTCATAGGCTCCCTCCTGGTACATAGCCATCATATCCATCAATTCCAGCCCTGCACGCTGCAATAAAACTCTGGATGAGACACATCATAGACTGTAAGAGTTTATGTACACAGATGAACCTTTGGATTCTTTCTCCTATTTATGGTAAAGTTTCAAATGAAACGCTACATCCATCCTGAGAAAAAGGAATCACGTTATTGGCCTCATTGTTAAGCATACATAAATTCCATCATTAAACTTCTTTTAACAATAAAGTTTGCATACATAAAATTACCTCATATTAATGTTGTTCACAATTACAGCTCACGTCCAATTGTTGTTCAATACTATATGTTTCACACATTTCAAAATTAAATTTATGCTATCTATCTTGAACTTTTTCATGACATTTATTCATTATTCCCTCTATATCAATATATAAGATGTGTTAACCCCCTTAATGCATACCAAAATATAGATATGTCAGCAGGATCTTTGTAGTTACTCAATGGAGGAAATTCAGCAACCCAGTGCTAAATGTAATCTATTCTCAACTGTTTAAGGGCAGCTTGTCCTTTGTTCTTGTACTTTCTGCAGTATGCTCATACTCCCTCTGTTTCATAGGCTACTGACATACTTCTTATTTCTAGGAAAGTCTAGAGAAAGGGAGGTGTAAGAACATGGACAAAATAAGACAGATGATGTAAAAAGATGGGGTGTGTAAGAGAAAGATGGATAAATTCTGTGAGAGAGAGAGAGAGAAGGCACAAATATTATGGTGTGTAAGAAAAAGGTGGATGATTTCCTATGAAGCCAAGGGATTCATTATTCTTTGACTTTGTATTATGATACATCAAAACGGCTTACAAAATTGTTTGTGCTTCATTCTTATTGCAGAATAAAGATGACTATCAATTTCAGCATCTCTTACCACCAGCCTTATCACAAAAGTAAGAATAAAAACACCTGACCCCTCTTAGCGTGGCATAATGGAAGCTTCTATGGAGGTATTAAGTAACGGTGTTCCTAAATTGATTATATCATTGTAGGATGATTTCAAGGCACTTGTCTGGTATGGGGGAGTATATTCCAACATAAGAAGAAATTTCACTTGACGGGGAAAAAGTTGAGCCACCAGTATCCAGAAAAATATCCAATGAGAGGTTTGTAATTAAATGGATTCCATGGAACTACATCAACCAACAGGTCTTAAAGCCTCTGAAAAAGAACTCAACTACTAAATAGGGAATAGGATATTTCAGTGAAATATATTTTGAACTTTCATTATAATTTTCTGAATATTGGTTTTATTCTGTCAATTCAAGTACCATCGAAATATAAATTTATTCCAACTTGTAGTGGCAAATCTGAATCTGAACATTTTTATAAAGAGCTAACATTTTCCTCAAAAGACCATTAAGCAATACAGGATACTAAACCATATCTGCAGCAAGAGCTTTTCAGCTCAATGATGAACAGGACGGAATGGTGTGAGACCAAAAAGATGGCAGTTACCTGATGGTGTGTCCTGAGCAATATTTTGCAGTTGGCATGAATTTCTTGAACGTGAGAAAGAGCCTTGAAGAAATTTTCATTCAACTCCTCTTCTTTAAGTGCATTTATCTGAAATGCAAGCAATTGTCAGCTATTTCTCTAACCAACTAATACATACAGGGTGTAAATGAAGAGAACACAAACCTCCTCATTAGATAGTTGGTAGTCACGAAGAAAGCACGAAACAATCTCTTGTCTCTGAGTAGTAACATCAAGGTCTTGTTTTAGCCTTTCTGTGGTACTTATGATATCCCCAGTGGTAGCACTACAGCTGTTTAAAGCCTTTGCAATCCTGTCAATACACAGAACAGTACTTAAGATCATGGATATATTGTACACAAGAAATACAAATATGATTAGAACATATTTAAAGAGAAATATGCCATAGTGCAAGATAAAATGAAGGTTTACTTGATCTATATGCATAAGATGCGTGCTATAAATTTAAAATCCTACACATAACTGGCTAATTTTTCTCTTTGTCAACTTTCAACTCTATACTCACATTCAACCACTTCTTGCCCACTCCTACTTTGACAAATCTTCACCAGAAGATTAATAGAACAAGTGAACAACAGATGTAATATAAATCAGCCAAGACAAGGAGAGGGAATAGATGGAGACTAGAAATAAGACATGAGCAAGCATCAAGAATGAACTCAAACACACACTATTAAAGAAGAAGTAGGATAATAGAGATCACTATCTCTGCCTAAATGCCTACACTCAAAAAGTTAATTTAAAGCAGGCTACCAGGTTTGACATTAATACATCAAAACTAGAGCCAAGAGCTTCATAAGTTCCACATAAGCCAAATTCTAGCCAAACACCTCATACAAAACAATCCTGTTTTCTTGTATTCTATCTTTTGAAACATCCATAATTGTATGGTTCAACTTGTTTCTTAAGAGTAAGGTTTAAGATAAAGCCAAAAATGTATACAACTTCCTTAGTGTTAGAGATTTGATTTATTTTAAGATTTTATTAAAAATCTATAACACGGTTGTAGTGCCTATAAAATTCACCAGCTTAGACTAATATTAGCCTCACCTCAAGTTTTTTGACATTTACCTCTTCTTCTCTTACAATTTCTAAGCTATCCCTCATTATTCTAAGTGTTCAATTGATCTATGTACTACAAATTTACAATATCATCTTAGTCATACAATTAACAATTGATACAACACCCATCGTCCCATCTTAAGATTGTGTTTAATGCTATGATGTTATCTTCTCCCCACCCCCACAACATTTGAAATTGGGTTTGCTTGACCAGCTAAAATATTTCCTTGCCAAGCAGTGTATGATAGCTATTTCAATCTTCCATTCTTACATTGGCTTCTACTTTTAGTGGTCACCGTAAAATTCTAACTTCGTGGGCTCCGTCCCAACTAAAAGTCTTATTTGCCTTTTGTACACAATTGTAGTAAGTTTAAATAAGTAAGACGGAGGGATTTGGTTGATTAAAGGTAAACATAAATGACAAATTAGTGGAGTTTGGTATATTAAAAGTGAATAGAAAAAATTAGGATAATGGGGATTGGTTGATAAACAGTAAATAATTAAATTAACATAGATGAAACGGGAAATGTATTCACTAACAAGGCTTTGAGTGAAATGGGACTTTTATGAGGAAGGAGAGAGCAGCATAAATTTTATAACTTTTCAAATTACAATCACAGGTTTAGGGAAACCTTGTCGCATTGTTAATGACACCAAGGTTGAATTCTTGAATCCCTTCATGCCAAGCATCATAAAAAAACATAAACATCTATCATACAACTATATGAGGCACTTTCTAAGACAATGTTTGCAGAGTATACTACTTCAAGGAACAGAGAGATACTCTTTCTCATATACTGAATCAAAAATACTTTCCTAAGAGTTTATTGTCATTTCCAAAAATCATAACAATTCTAATGAGAATTCTAGCATTCTAATGACAAGAATCGATTTCATGCACTATTTCCAATTGTCATAAGAATTCTAATTCAACAACAAAATCCAATAAAACCCGTGTTACATCATCGAAAACCATAGCATTTTGCACGCCAAAATTGAATAACATATGCTATAATTACCTATCACAGCATTCCGCAAGTGCATTAACCTCCTCTTCAACTTGATCCAATGCCTGAAAAATCAATCAAAAAAACAACAATTAATCACCTAAATCTAATACAAACAACATCACAAATCCTAATTGAGTGAAATTGACAAAGAATGGACCTGCTGCGCCGCATCGGAAGCGCTGAGAAAGTCGTGATTGATAGAAAGAGCGCGCTTCTCAATGGTAGATCTGAGGTTACGGCGCGCTTGAGGAGAGTTGTCGGAGTAGAATGTGGAGAGTGTGGAGAGAGAAGTGACAAGTTCCGGAGAATCGATTCGAGATTCTAGAACCTTCTTTAGCTTTCTGGATAATCCTGGTGCTAATGTCGCTGTTCCCATTGATGATTGCTTATATTATCAATTTGATTGATTGAAGATGAAGATTGATTCGCTGCAAATGTGCAGAATCTGGAAATTGTTGATGAATTTTGGGGGGAAATTTGAGTATTTTAGTTGGAATTGAAGTGAGTTTTATGATGAAATGGGGGAAATTTTGAGATCTTGACTGTTGAAGAGTAGAGACTCTGGGAAGAAGATGAGATGATAGTGCCGCGAACAATGTTGAAGCAGTAGAGGGGGTGATCAATTTTTCTAACTAGGGGGCTTTCTCACACGATTTTTGGAAAATTAACGATGAGGCGTTCGGGTTATTTAGGAAGTGTTACACTTTTCATAAACCGGCCATATTTTTTTTTTTTTTTGCAAACTTATATGAAGTATTCCATTTTAATATTTATATGAGGACTTTGATTGGTAATTAGCGGATAGCCAATTGTTAAGAGCATGGATTAAAAACTCGGCTGTTATATCGCATGAGGCCAAGATGTAACGGATTTGAAGGTTGTTGTTACAAGATTTATCGTTTTGTAATGGAGTTTTGAAAAACCCCGTATTTTTTACTGATACGACTGAAACGCCCGAAAAAAAAGCTTATAGGCGTGAATTGGCCAGAGTTATGTGGCAGACTCCATTGTTGCTGGCGTGTAGCAAGCCTTAGCAACCGCATCATAGAGAAATAAAGAGAGAAAGAAGAAGAAAGTAAAAAGGGTTGAGAGTTGAGTGACGTAAATATGTGGTTAATGGGACAATTGTTAATAGTTAAAGAAGATTGTGACAGTTGTACGATGCTCCACTTTATTATATATTTGACTTTTTGACCACTCAACCTCTCTTTTTTACTTTTAATTTTTTGATTTGAAAGAAAATTGTTACGGAATACTGTAGTATTGTAATTATTACTTTTCAATCTCTTATTATTTAATTTATTATTTTATGATATATAAGAAAAATGTATTTTCCTTCAAAAAAAAATGAAAAATATATATATATATATATATCTAAAAATATCCTTAGAATTTCTACCGCGATGACCACAACCCGGTCCACGATCATATCATCACATCGTTTCCGATACTGCAACACCGTGATCGATCCCGCAATCGCAACCGATATTGCATTTTTATTCTATGGTTAAGAGTTGATTATATTAGCGATTTTGACTAACTTGTTGCCTTAGATGTTTTAGCTAGATGATGAAAGTTTGCATTAGTTCTTGGTTGAATTGTAGATTTTGATACTACTTTATGGACACTTGAGAGTATTGCTCACCCATGCTTAAAAGCATCTCACAAATAATCATGTTGAATCGATATCATATCTCTTTGCACACTATCCATGCGCGCCCCTTAATGGAGACCTCGAGGATATACCATTTGTCGTGAAATATGACAATCATCTCTCTCACTCTCTAGTAGATAGAATGAGCTTGTTAAAAATTGCTGAGTTAAGATGTTGAAATTTGAAGACCCGATATTTAAATTAGCACAGGGCCTCAAAAATGGTTAAGACGACCTTGATGATCGACAAGTGACAAGCAATACATGCATGCGTTAGCCCTTAATGTGACACTTTAAAATTGAGCCTTTTTTACTAGACGCAAACCAAAATACACGCTGCAAAGTTAGGAGTGCCATTGCCATTTACTATACATCCTCTAGTACACAACATGTAATGTATCACCTTGACATTCTCTTTCTCGTTGACCCGAAACTATGGATCGATGGAGATTGTGGGTGTACTACATATGTAAGATTAATGACTCACAAATGTAGTGGTCACATTTTTTTTTGGTGTTCTACCCGGTTCACCCTTTGGGCTAATCCGGATTCGGGGATCAGTTTTGGGTGGTTAGGTTCCAGTCCCTCCCGGGTACTACATATGTAGTGGTCACATATGTATATACCACTATTGTCGAAAAGACATTATTTAAAATAATTTAAACTTCGATCATCCTCCTCGTCTCATAGTTTAGTTAAACAATTTTAATTTATGAAATTCAAGTTATTCTAGGAAAACTTGACATTCTTTCTACGGAGTATAATTTTCTACAAAATTTGAGCTTATACTAAGGGAATTGAACTTTCAAAATCATTCACCTTTCTAAAAGAAAATGTGAAAAAACAAGATTTTTATTTAGAGCCAGATGTGTCCATGATCATGATAACTCCGGCCGCCACGCATATTACTCGCATTATTACCGGGTCCGAATTGGTGATTACGACACGGGGTGGAGACTGATGACTACGAATTAGTGGATGACGTTTTTGAAACAGTCCCGTTCGACACTTCCAGTGCCTCAAAAAAACCCAAAAACAAAGACAATTCCTATTGATCTTGCTCATCTACACGCACCCAATTCACATACAAATTTTCTCCTCCAAAATTAATGCAAAATCAATTCAAATTTTTAGTCTTCCACTTCAACCTTCATCATCATTTCAAATCCCTTGAAATTTTGAAACAATTTTACAGAAATGTTACTGAAATTATCACTTAAACAGTACACAGTGCTTGCAATTCCAGTGCAACCTCCGCCATTAAAGCTAACCCACCATGGATTTTACTGTTGTAAGATCAGATCATCTGCAAATGATTCTACAGACCGGAAATTACCCTTTAAATTCCCGATTCAATGGAGGGATCCCAAGTGGAAACTTAGTGATTTCGACCCCGGTAATTATATGAACTTTTATCTCAATTAATTTGGTTTTTCCTGTTTTTTATTAGAAAATATGAACTGGGTCTAAGATTTGCTCTGAATTGTGATTGAGTAGTTGTTAGTTTTCTCATTTTGGGTTCGGAATTGCTTGTTTGATCATTCTTTTTATTGATAGAATTGCAATTTGTGTGAATGTGTATGCGGGTTCATGTGGATTGGTAGCATAGTAGATTAATATGATGCACTAGAGAATGATTGATGCTGTTTAATATTGATTTCTTCCGAAAATGTGTAAAAATGGGCAAAATTTGAGCAAGAAGAATTGGAGCTGCATGAACATGAAATTGTGAAGAATGATATGAATGTTGAAATGTACAGGGATTACAAATATGAATTACTTTTTCTTAGGACAAAATTGAATGGGGTACTCAGTGTGGAATGTAGAGAGTATGAAGATTTTGGAATTTCATAAGAAATTTGCAATTGTTGATCAAATTAACATTAGCTCGAGTAGTAATGTCTCTATGTAGGCTTCCCAACATGGTTTAGTTTAGGAATTATCATAGCAGAGTTCCAGAAAATTCCTTTTTATTTTTTAGGATTCATTTTTTCTTTGCATACAGTGTTTAAGCTTTTCACTTCAATATGATAGACAGTTTGGCGTAATCTTTTTGCCTTAATGATAGAGAGGCAATTTCCAATTTACCCTTGTTCCAATATGCTATAAACTTATACTACCTCACGATAAATTAGAAGTGGAGGCATTAATTAAGTTTATTACTTTTGAAAAGCCAAAGATTTCTCTTCCATGGCAATCAGTGCTCCACATGTGGAATATTTGGTAATAGATAGAATTACTTTTGCTTCTCTCTTCCTCTTTTGGAGGAGGTGACTAACACACAAAATGAGCTATTGTATGTGTGTGTGTGTGTGCGCGCGCTAGCGTGAATAAGTATCAAGGGGTGTCGGTCTCTGACAGTCTGACCCTTATCTTGCTTAAATTTTCTTAATTTTGTCATAATCATTATAGAAGGCCGCTGACCATCTCCAATCTTCTATTTGTTATGGAAATCTAAGGTTTTGAAGTTGAATATATCTTTCTATCTGAATGAAACCCGTGGCTACTTTAATATTAATGCTCTTACAAACTTGAAGACTTATAAAGCTATTTTGTCCAATGATTATGTAATATGTGGATGTTATCAAAGTGAAGGGAAAAGGAGACTGTTGTTTGTGTGTTTTATCTGAGTGCTTATCATTTTTGTGGCAAGCTGGTGATATTAGACTTCCAGTTTTGAGCAGCATCACCGAATTTGTTTATAGGGATAAAGATAATTGTCGTTTGAAGTTTTTCTCTTTGGTCATATTTAAAGTTTTGTGTCTGATAAGTAAGAGGATAAATAGCTAATGGTTTTCATATATGAGATATAGTATATTATTTTGCCTCCTTTATAATATTGTTTTTTCTTCTTTACCCAGTTTGCTCACTTAGTCACTTGGATGGGTCCATTTGGGGCTTTGTAAGGGTTATTTTTAATCATATTCCTCATTGTTGTGTTTGACATGCTTGTGTTCCTCGGTCCTTTATACTCCCTTTTTTCTCTTAAAGCTTGTCTAACGTAGAATGCAGCCATAATAAGGGAGCGTACCTATCTTGTTGTATCCTTTTTCCCCCCTAATATTGTATTCCCAATTCTGAACTCCTTGGACATTATTCTGGAATACTTGTCTAGCATTTTGGACGTCTTTGAAAAATGAAAGCTTATCATGGTAAGGGAGAGGGAAACTTTATTCCTCTATACTAATAGGTCTCTTTGCTGCAAATAGAAGAGGCACTTCATTCATCGAAATTGAATAAATTATATGGTTCGTGGAATGAGCTTGGGTTATTGAGCTGTGGCTGATGTTTAATTTTGACCTTTCTAGATACTGTGAAGAAAAGTTTGAATACATTGCTATCAAGAACCCAGAACTTCTTAAATGAAGCGACTTCTCTGTATGTTAAATCTGGAAAGCTTGATGACGACAATGATGTTGATCATTATGATGGTGAAAATATACTCATCGGAGAAATGACTCTTCAGAGTGAAATGCTTGATGGAAATCTTTCTTTAGCTGCTGTTGTTTCAATTGAACAATTCAGTCGGTAAATAACTCTCAACCTTGTACTCTTTGCATCTTATTCACTCTGTTTCCTATAAAATTTCCAATTCTCTCTATATGCTTGTCCAAATAAACTTTCAATTTTCCCCTTGGGACCTACTTAATATATTGCCCCTACTTTATTTCACCTAACTAATACTAATAAACAAATTTCATTCTTTGTTTTATTCATCTCAAATTAACAATGCCCCGCCACCTAGGGACCAAGGGTCTTTTAAATTTATGTGTGAAAGGAAAATGGGAACATTATTTGGGGAGAGAAAGAATACTATACTCGGTGGAGTCAATTTTATGCTAATCCTATACAGTAAGATGTGCATAATATATTGATGAAGGAATAATGTAGAACTAAGCATTTTAGGGTATATTTTTTGGCCTCATGGGTACTCTGTGGTTGGGTACAATTTACAAATAATTCTTTAGTCTGGGAATAAAATATCCCTAGGCCCTTGGGTTCCCTGCACTTTAGTCGTAGTGGCATAGTGTTCAACCTGTTAAACCATTAAGCATGCTGTCAGCTTCGTTAACTTGAGGACAGAAGAGCACTGTCATCCCTTACAAATTTAACTTTCTCTTATCATCTAAACCCTTGGCTCTTGCTTCTTTTGTCTTACCTCCCTAAGAAAATATTCTTTCTTATTGGTTAATGTTGCAACGTTTTCCTATTTATGCAAGTTTTAATTATTTGCATATGATTTCTCTCTCTGTCTCTTCATCATATGGGTCTCTCTATTTACTCCTTTCTATCTCTCTCCTTTTTATATGGGTTCCTTATATTTCTTACTCCCCTACATGTAATAATTAAAGAACAGACTCAACAGAGTAAGTATAAGTATAAGTGTATAACTCAATTTTTTTTATTCTACTATTTATAATTATTATTTCAATAGAGAATATAAGTTGGACATACATACTTCCTCCGTTCCAAAATAGATGACATGCTATTTGGCACAGATATTAAGAAAGGAGATAGAGTGACAAAAGACATAAACACCCTTACCAAATGAGGCCAACCATTTTAGCTGACCTAAACCCCACCATCACTTCCACCTTCAACTACTTAGCTTCCTCCAAACGGCAAACCCACCTTTTTCTCTCCCTCTTCATCACCTCAGTCAAGTTGCCCCCCGATACCATCATCTCTCCTTCGATTCTCACTCATCTTTGTCTTAGCAACCCAACACCAATTCACTCCACATTTAAACCCAAAAACCCATCATCTTCCTCCTTAAAAATCAAATCCAACCTTAACTTTCAAAAATTGATGTGGGTATACTTTTTCTAGACGAATGCTAGCAGTAAATATAAAAAATTACTCCTCTAGTTTCGAAAAAAACAGACGTGGGTTTATTTTTGATGTTTGATGCTAAAATCTTTGATGAACTTTGTTTTTCATTGTGGACATCGATGTTGGTGGTGATGGTAGAGACTTGCTTTGATTTTGTATTTGGGGAAAAAAGTTGCTTTTCGTAAGTCTCAGCTCGTTGATTCAAATCTTGCCCCACATTTCATCTCTTTCTCCACATCCACAGGAAATTGCTTCTTCAAATAGACGGGAAGGAAATAGTCTAATCCCGGCAATGAGGGGGGAAAGTCGGCAGCAAGGGAGGACTGAGAATACGGTGGTGGTGACTGACAGGGGAGAGAGAAAATGAGCCATGGTGGTGGCTGTGACAGAGAAGAGAGAGGGGGTCAGGGAGGAGGGAGAAGAGAAAGACAATTTACCATAAAAAACTTACCCAAAATAGAAACGTGTCATCTAAAAAGAAAATTCCCAAAAAGGAATACGTGTCATCCAATTTGGAACGGAGGAAGTAGTATAATTTATATTAAAAGTTTCCTTTATTTTCCAAAATATTAAATGAGCAACAAGAAATTAAAAATAAAAAAAAAAAAACTTGAAAGTTTCTTGATCAAGTACTCAAGCTAATTAGAGTTCAATTAAGCTCATCAAGGTTTTGAGTTAAGTTAGAGCCTATATTGAGCTGGTTTGAGTCAGGTTAAGGTGTTAATTAAGTTTATCTCTAGGGATATTTTTTTATTTTTACCATCACCAATGTACAAAGTAGATTTCATTTAGTTCCTTCACATGGTTACAATCCCTTAAATTGTATTAGATACATCAAAGATAACTTAGGAAACTATGATGTGAAATAAAAGAAAAAATTTGAATTTCTTGCGGTCCTTATCCTAAGAAGTGTACATCAAGGATTTTCTCAAGTTAGCTTTAAGCCTTTAAGACATTTCCTATTGGTAATTTTTTATTTTATTGGCTAAGCATGGACATGCATCACGCAGGATGAATGGATTGACTGGGAAGAAAATGCAAAAGTTATTTGAAGCTCTTGTGCCCAAATCTGTGCACAAGGATGCCCGGAATCTGGTCGAGTATTGCTGCTTTAGGTTTTTGTCGAGGGATAATTCTGATATTCATCCTTGCCTTCAGGTTAGTGGGGCTAGGTTTTCATCTCTCTCTGTCTCTCTCTCTGCTCTTGTTTGATGTTACTCTACCCTGTGATTTGAAGGACTGATATAGCTCTGTAATTTTTTGCCAATGCTTCTGTTGATTACTTGATGACATAAAACAATACCATCTGTTATTAAGCTCAATCCGATCTTTCAAAATCTGAATAGTTATGTTGATTAATAAGTTGTTGACTTGTTTTCTCAATATATTAGTTCAAATCCTTAAAAATCTAGTAGATACACTTTTGTGAAGATGTGGCAATTTAACATTTTTGAGATTTTTTGGTTGTTTCAATGAGTATTTAACCTTGGATGAAATTTCTAATTGCTTGGAATTATATTATTTATGTCAACACTACATTATTGCATTAAAAAAAAAAAAATCAGAATATAATGTGAGTTTGCATTTGATTATTGGTTTGATCAGGAGCTTGCCTTCCGGAGGCTGATATTCATTACTATGCTTGCTTGGGAAGAACCTCAAAGACTAGAAAATGATTCATATCCTGATGGTTCTGAAGCAGCATCATTACAGGTTTCATTTTTTGATTGACTCCTAGTCTACCTACTCTCTCATGTTTCTTCTGCTTCTACTGTCATGCTACTTACTTCTAGGGTACTAGTCCTATATGCATTTGATGAGTGCGTAAATATCTGCAAGGATGATAAAATTAGTATTTTTTTAATTCCATACATTCAATGAATTAACGTGAACTAGTTTCTTAAAAAAAAAAAAAAAAAAAAAAAAAACGTGAATTAGTGCAAAAGGTATCCATTACACACTGAATGATGAGATTAACTCTAATTCATTACTTAATAATCAACAAACACCAGCTAAACTTATATCTCTTTCCCTCTCTCATCTCCGAATGCCCTTGAACTTGATCTTCACACTTATCCATTAATTTGTCTGCCGCATGATAATTGACCTGTTGATATAGTCCAGAGCATGATTGGCCACTTTATGGCTTGTTTTTGCAAGTTCAGTTGCTTTCATATTAATCTTCATGCCTTATTTTTTTTTTCCTAATCAAATGCGTATCTATAGATTGGACGGTTGGCTAAAGGAAGACTTCTTTCTTGTGTAGACAAGGCTTGTCAGAGAAGAAGCCTTTGTTCGCATTGCACCTGCTATCTCCGGTGTAGCTGATCGAGCAACTGTGCATAATATCTACAAGGCTCTTTCGGGTGATAAAGGAGGAATTTCTTTCAGCGTTTGGTCCTCTTACATCAATGGGCTTTTTAAGTGAGCATTTTTTTTTTGCACTTTGATTTGAACTCTTGAATGTGGTTTGTTGCTCTGACGGGACATTTTGAGGAAAGAGTTAAACATTTATACATCATAAGAGTCTGTTTCTCATCCTGCACTCATCACTCCAAAAAGGAAATTAATAACCCTTTTCGACATTGTTGCTCTAAAAGGAAGAGATATAGCAGAATGTGAGCTTTATTTTGGTTTCTTTCAGTGTGTGGTTCCTACAGGCGTGGGTACCTTGCATCGTACTACCGTTTCGCAAAAAGAACATAGTATACAAATGTAAAGAACATATAACTGTAGGGAAAAGAACATACTATTATAATGTAAAGAACATATACCTAAAGTAAAAAGAACATATTTGCACCTAAAAAGAGTGAATAGAAACATATGTCCATGTTCTTTGATTGTTAGTGTAATGAACTTTTATTTGTGATATAATGTTCATTGCTTATTTTAAATGTTCATTGAATTTTGTCTTAAAATTATGGTTGATATATATAAATAATGTTCATTACATAATATCTTCATGTTGTTTTTTGACAAGTAATATCGTCATGTTCTTTATTAATATTACAGATGTTCTTTAAATATAAAAAAAAAAAACATAAAATTGGATGTTCTTTAAAAAACTGATATATGTTCTTTAAAAAAGAACGGTATGTTCTTTACAAAACAACTACATGTTCTTTTCGCGCTTTTTGTCTGTACCAGGCTGCTGTACCTTAGAATTTTCAGGTTTCTTTATCATGTACATGTAGCCCTTTCATGATATGAATGACATTGTCTCTATTTCCTTTACCAGCCAATCATTAGCTATATGGTTTACAACTAAACTCCCCTTGTGGTAATTAATCAATATTTTCAATATTCTGTCTCGTGGGACTGAGGCTTATTTCTGGTTATTAATTCTATTTCTTTAGTGTCCCTACTTTTCATTTTGGCTTTTCATGAATTGTCATGTCGCTGGAGATTTGTCTCATGATTGGCTTCTGTCTAAGATGATGCAGATTCTATTATTTTAAATCTTACTTCGTATAAAGTTTCACTATTTGATCACATGTAGTCTGATGTTATCTGATGGTTCATACTAAGTATGTGTGTGCTTATTTTTGCTGTAGAGTACACAAAGACAGGACTTCCTATAAGCCTCAACTTCCCCACACTCCATCCGAACAAGTCTTGTGTGTGGGTTTTAGCAGGAAGCAGCCAATTCTGAAATGGGAGGACAACATGGCATGGCCAGGAAAACTGACTTTGACAGAAAGAGCCATCTATTTTGAGGTAATTTAACTTGAGTAACTATGTTTTCTGTAGGAACATTTTGCAGTACTTTTAGGGATGTCATAACCTGGCACAAATTAGAGTTTACTGTTAAAAGTCTTAAAACAATTTGGTATTCCTTCTATAGAACTGTTGCAATATATCTATAAGAATATATTTAAGGGAACATTGGTTTTTTAAAAAATTCCTTAGTTTGATTGAGCAGTATTAAGTTTGGGACATGTTATACAGAAAACATATGACGAATGTACTGAAAGGTGTGAGTTTATGAAGAAAAGTTAGAATTTATTGTCAATGAAACCCTTTACTAGTTCATCTCTTTGACCAATTAAGGCAATGGGGCTTATTTTTAGGTAGTTCGCCTGAAGAGCTAGTCTTATAGAACTAAATATAAGGGGCAAGGGAAAATGTATTAAATCACTGTTTATTAAATGCAGAAGAAAGTTACAGGTAAAGCCTAAATTTTTATGAGTTTCAGTACCTTACTCTTTTTTTTTTTTTTTCCTTTCATGCTTTTATCTATGATAAATTAGTAACTTAGTCTATGTTTCATCAAAAAATCAGTTTCCTTTTACAAAAGTTTCCCAGACCTCTATCTATATAACAGTATTGTTTGAAAACTCAAAAGTAACATTAGCTGCTTGCAATTGTTTGGCAGCCAATTGACTTTTTTAAGAACAAAAAAGTTGAGAGATTGGATATTACGGGACACGGGGCTGAGGTGAAGCAGACTAAAGTTGGTTTATTTGGATCGGTGCTCTTTGACTCAGCTGTCTCTATTTCTTCTGGTGAAAAGAAGTAAGTTTCTCAATGTTTCTTTTACCCTGTAGCTTTGCATTATTTCTATATTAGTTTTTATTTGATCTTTGAGTATGATCTGCTTCATTTTAGCTGTGAAGTGTAAACTGTTATCTTCATTGTCATATGGCCAGTCTGACTTATGGAGCATCACAGTGTAACCCCAGAATAGAATTTAAGTGATAATGGCTGTGTGGGTTTATAGATCTTATTGAGAATCTAGCCAGTGTTACAATGAGCCATGGTCATTTGTATGTAAAGATACAAGAGATATATTTGTGTGCAACCAGATCTTATATATGCCAGTTGTATTAATATCAACTCTTGCACTTTTCTCCAATAACTCTGCCCCGACACCTATATTTTTATTCGTCAATACCATCTCAAAGGCAAAAAAAAAAAAAAAAAAAAAAAAAAAAAAAAAAAAAAAAAAAAAAAAAACTACTTGTATTATTTCATTTCTGTTCCTTTTTGCCTTCTTTCTCTTTTGCTTTTAGACTCTCCCCTCCCTCTCCCTGATGAATAAGGTGGGGCTGATAATTATGAACAAAACTGGAGGGAAAAGAGGGGAAACAAATGAAAGAGAAGGAAAGTAGCTTTTTTTGGGAAAGCAGAACCTTTACCAATAAGGACATTTTTGTCATATCTAGGGTACCGTAACTTTAGAGTACATCCTATCAATGATGCAATGAGCTCTTTACAAGATATGTGTTTGATGAAAATCTTTTTAAATAATTAAGCTTTTGTCCTATTGCTCAAATTCCTATTAGCATAGTGATTCTGGATCTTTTACATAAGGTATGATTGTGAGGCATTGCATTGTTTTTGTGTCACAGTGTTATAGCTTAGCCATACTTGTTTATTAGCTCACATTACACATAATAATACAAAATTGCTTTGTTTATGTGCGCTCTATTTTTCTTCCTGAAATTAGATATAAACCGTGGGTGTTGGAGTTTATTGATCTTGGAGGTGAAATGAGGCGAGATGTTTGGCATGCATCTATAAATGAAGTTATTGCTTTTCACAAGTTTGTGCGTGAATATGGACCCCAAGAACACGATTCAGTTTCTCATGTTTATGGTGCTGATAAGGGAAATGAAAGAGCTAAAAGAGAGGCTGTTAATAGTATCTCTAGACTTCAATCTCTTCAGTCTATCAGGAAGCTATTGGATGAGCCTTTGAAACTTCTTCAGTTCTCATATTTGCAGTATGCTCCATATGGAGATGTTGTTTCCCAAACTCTTGCTCTTAACTATTGGGGTGGACCATTGGTTTCAAAATTTAGGAAGGTAAGAAACTACAGTAAGAAGTCTAGGTCCCTGGATGAGGCTTATGAAGACCATGTATATGATGTAGATGGAAGTGTGTACTTGAGCCAGTGGATGAAATCTCCAACCTGGGCTTCTAATAATTCAATTTCCTTTTGGAGAAATGCACCTCTAAAGCAGGGAGTAGTGTTGAGCAAAAATATTATCGTGGGAGGTGCTTCCTTGACAGAAAGGGCGGCGAGAATATGCAGGGAAAAAAGTAAAGTTATTGAAAAAACGCAGGCCACCATTGATGCTGCTACCTTGGAAGGGATACCAAGTAACATTGACCTTTTTAAGGTCAGTCTTCTTTCTTGTGTGCTAAATAGTTACTTATATTTCATCTTATTTTTTTTCTTCTTAACTATCTTTTACTATATTTCATTACTCAACATTTGTTATTAGAAGAAAAATGGGATCTTATTTATGTGGAGAAGAGTAATGTTGTTCAATGTGTTTTCAGGAACTTGTTTTCCCTCTAACTATTATGGCTAGAAATTTTGAAAAGCTAAGACACTGGGAGAATCCATTCTTGACAATCTCGGTTCTTGGACTTGCATATGCTATCATATTCAGGTATAACATTTTTTTTAAGTAATGATAATGGTTACAACGGTTGTAGTACGCTTGTAGATTTTTTCCATTGAGTTCTCCCACAATCTCCTTGTCAGAAATCTGCTAGCATATGTTTTTCCTACAACATTGATGGTAGCAGCTGGGATTATGCTATCATTGAAGGCCCTAAGGGAGCAAGGTCGACTTGGAAGATCCTTTGGGAATGTTACAATTCGTGACCAGCCACATTCTAACACTGTTCAGCAGATCATAGCACTTAAGAAGGCCATGCGTGATATGGAGAACTTTCTTCAAAATGTTAATGTCACACTTCTAAAAATACGTACTATTATCCTTTCTGGTCAGCCTCAGGTATGTAATATGTATTAGAACTCTATTTAGTATGTACCTATCTAAAATTAGATCTGATGCTAATTCAAAATGGCTTAATGCACTTTCCGTAAATGTGTCTGTGGTTTGTTTTTCTTCGTTCTTTTTTTTAGCTATATTTTTCAGTACGACATATATTTATGAAGGTTATATCTTTCAGTATGATATAATTATGAAGGCTAAATCATTTAACTTTGTATAAAATAATTTACATTAATTGACTATCGGACGTAGCATATTTTGCAAAATCTGAATGTTTATTTGTTTTTTTTTTTTTTTTTTTTCCTGATATATGAATATATCTGCTCAACTTTGTATTTTTAGCTAAGAGGTTGGTGAGTGATATTTGTGGTAATGAACTTTCTATACTTTCCATTCTCCCTCCCTTATTCACTTCCTATGTACTGATAACCTGCTGCTTATGCTCTCTTTTTAGAAAACACAGTACTTGTTTGCATTTCTGGTGGCACCAGAGAGCTTAAAGATAACAGCAGTAGCTTAGTGTACAAACCTCCCTCCTGAAGGGGAGTCTTTGAGTTTATGTACAACGGCACATATCCTTTGCCTCTGCCACTAAGAGACCTTTTTCTAGTAAAAATTCTATTAATTTTGCAACAATTCAACATCACTAAACTTGGCGAGTGAATAAGGTATTTTAACATAAGTGAATTAGGGAATTGAGAATTTAAATTGTGAACACATGTAAAATCAGAGGTTTCATGAAAATTATGCTGATAGATTCATCATGAGCAGATTAAGGATTAAAGAAGAATCTTTTCTTAAGGGCTCAGTGAGAGAAGGCTTATTCCTACCTGTAGATTTGTTTAGCAACAAAAACAAGTATTCATTTCACCACTACCAGAATTTGGGAGTTCTCAACATACACATATCTAAACTTCTGACTAGTTAGACTGGTGGAGAGGCTTGTCTACTAAGCAACTAGTAATGATGAAAGTTTGCGTCTGACGTAAACCTGCCCATTGCTTGGTAAATTTTGTAGGTAAATCCTGCCTTTGTTAAATGATCAATATTGAGGGCCTTGAGGCCCGTATTAGTATTAAGTTCATAATCACTCTCCAGTCAAGCTTTCTTTTTTTTTTCTTTTTTTTTTTTTTAATTATTATGGAGTACATGATAGATACTATATGTAGAGGTAGAACAACAATGAGTTTTCCTTCAAGAAGTTGTGGAAGACCCTAAAGCACGAGTTTTAGAACTTGTTGCTAGTGGTCAGACCCAAGGAGCTGAAGGATTTTATACTTTCCAAAACTTAATTAAAAAAACCTTTAAACAATTTCTGAACTGGTAACTGGTAGGTCAAGATTTTGAGGAAAAAGTACGCAACAATCAATTTCTGTATACACTTTTCTTATATTTTGTTTTATGGTTCCAATTAGGCAATCACCCATTGTGCCACAGAAGCACTTGAACATTGCAAATATGAGCCAAATAGTTGCCCACCTTGAACATCATCTGAATGCAGCAATGTTTACTACTTAATACTAAACATCTTTCTGACATGGGAGATTTTTTTCCCAAAAATAAGTGACAGAACAAAAGTCCAAAGGAGTGAATAGAATTCCTTGTCTAATCATACAATTTAATGACATTGTAGAACCAGCATTATTGGGCATTTAATTTTCTCATGAACCATACTATGTGACATTTATTTATTTGTTTTGTTTAGATACGATTTTTTCTTTTAGATATTGCCTAGTATCCATCTTTATATAAATTTTCATTGATGCTTTCCAGATAACCAATGAAGTCGCACTAGTTTTGTTATCGTCTGCAACGATCCTGTTTATCGTTCCTTTTAAATACATTCTTTCCTTCTTTATATTTGATCTTTTCACTCGTGAACTGGAATTTCGGAAGGAAATGGTATTAAGGTTCAGAAAACTTCTGAAAGATCGCTGGCAAACTGTGCCTGCGGCTCCAGTGACAGTATTACCCTTTGAGAATGATCAAAACAAGGAAACCAAAGAAGAAGAGTTGCAAGAGAAATCAGAGTGAAGGTAATTCGTCTAATTCCTTGATGCATATCCTTTTTTTTCCCTTTCTCCCCAAAATTTTGTTTCATCCCTATGGCATCAAACCTGAAAATTGTTGGTATTGAGTGTTTACTCTTCAATTCTTCTGGTTCACATTGACGTGGCTCTTGTTAACTTTCTTGGCTTGGTGAACTAAAAAAAACTAGCAAAAACAAATTGGTCTTAACCAGATCACCAGAAGCCCTTGTAAAAAGTCAATTGAGTTGGTTCTTTGAGCTAACTCAGTCATGTAATCAGAGTAAGAATCATTATTCCACCGTATCTGAGCAAGTGCCTTGATTTCAATCTTCAGCCCTGATATGCTACAAGAGTACAAGGTAGCTGCTAAGCATGCTTAGTGCAATGATTTGGTCGCTGAAATAAAATAATAAACATGGTTATACATGCTTCCTGGTGTAAAGTTGGTCAATGATGAACAATTAACTTGCGTTGATTTTTCTGTAAAGTTATGCCTAGCTGTTCATCGCTTGACTGAGAACTTGGAACTTTGGATTCTAACCCTATTTTTTGAAGTTAAGCTATAGTTTAGATTTTGCTTTTTGATCAATGAGATTATCTTGATGAACAATCAAACAGATGCTCATTATGCAGTCGGATATACTGGAGCTGGTGATTGTGCTGGTGGATCATTATAAGCATAACCACAAACTGCAAAACAAACTTTCTCAAAAGTTGTGGAAAAGTTTGCTGTCTCCTTACTTGCTCATAGAGCAGTACTCATAAGTCTTGGACTTGATTACAACTTACAAAATCAGATACTTCGGCAGGATATTGATTCTTTTCTATCCTGCTCAACATCAAGCTCTGCTGGAAAATTGTCCTCGAGTCTCCATCCCATCCATCCCAACCAGCTGTGCTGCAGATTTCTTCCTCTAATGTGAGGCAATGGCCATTGGTAAGCAGAAACCCCTGATGAGGCTGATATTCATCCCCTGATGAGGCTGATATTCATTGAAGTCTGGTGTTCCCAAAGTGAACCTGCCTGTGTTGCTGGTTTTACTCAGGTCCCTAGCATATGGGGAAAATGCCACAGATTCCATTACTAGTGGGGTCCAACAAACAGCTTGCTCGACCTCGAATCTCAGTGGCCCCATCCAGGTGTAGCGGTGAAATTGGCAATTGTCATGGTTCCAAAACCAAAACTCGGACTTCTAACTTTCAACTTCATTATTTCTGGGCATAAGGTCTCTATGCAGTAGTCTACAATTGTGAAATTGCTGCATTCTGAGACCTGTGCACCTGTTTAGCATAACCTCAAGTTTTTAGGACACTTGTTTCATATTGTGATAGCTTGTAAATTTTGCATAAAATATCTCCGGGATGGTAGTGAAAAAAGAAGCGAATGTTATGAGATCATTACATGATTGTGAATATGTGTAGCTGTTATTACTGGCTCTTTATCGTTTTTCAATGGTGATGCATGGTAGTGGAAACTGGAAAGAAGTCTTAGTGGACTTGTGATGAGTTCATAGAAGTCCATGCACGGTCCATGATCCACCCGTGTTCCTCTCGTATCGTGTCAGGCTAGTTGAGCAATTTTTGTATTGTGCTTATTGGCCTCATGCCAATTTGGCCCATGTACATCTGTAATTGTTGTATCATATAGCCGATAGAGGATATGTATAACTTGTTTGATAATATGTATAATTTGTTTGATGATATGTTAATAATGGCAAAGCATTCATTGAACATCTCGTACTCAAGGTCATGGTATAACATAACTTGTTCATTTCTCAACCAAAAAACATGCATCAATACTCACAATTCAACATACAATTATATGGGACAATCAATTTCAACAATTATGCATCACATAAGAAAGCCCCAGTTCGATTTTTTGGGCATTTTTCGAAAAATCCGAGAATCTCAAGTAGTTAAACTTTCTCTCTCTTCCGCCATGGATGACCTTGGTCCTCTCCTTCGCCATAACCACCACCAACTTCTTATCATGTGGAAACTTGTTATTCATCGCCGCAAGAAGATGACGATGATACTTTTCGAATGACGAAACATTGGCTGCAGCTTGCCACACCCAATACTTTGTGTTAATGAAACATTACTCTGTATTATAGAGAGGTTTCACAAATAAAAGGTTTTTTTAGATAGCTTAAGTATTGTTAACCTCCATGTCACGCCTTAAATTTTTATAAGATAGATTAATGTGCACCATGTAATGTTGACATAAGGATGCCACGTGTTGTAATATAATGCAATCCATGGGTTTTAACAATATTATAGATGTTAGCGGTTAATGATATAAGCGATTTTATTTGCACCAAAATATTACAACTTAGACAATTACAAACAAAAATGTGTAAGAGTATGTTCTAATTACCTTATTTTTACTTATTTCAAATCTAATAAGTTTAGTTGAGTTTAAATAAGGATGTGTTTTATTTATCTGATTTTTACTTATTTAAACATATTTGAACTTTTTTTTATAAAAAAAAAACTTATCTGAACTTATTAAAACTTATTTTAGTTGTAATTGAACTTGGATAACCTTTATTACATTTTTTTTTAAATTGAATTGAACGTATCTGAACTTATTAGACTTGATCTTTTCAAAAAAAAAATATTAGACTTGAAATAAGTAAAAATAAAGTAAACACAAGAGATGCTAAGATAAATTGGAAAAATAAGTTTTAATGAGGGCTATCCAATTACAAATCACGACTAAAATAATTTTTTAATAAAATATGTGCTCTTCCCCTTAAAAATTTTTTATAAAAATAATTCAAGTAGAAATATTATAAGATATCAATAAAATAATTTTAATAGCAGCAAAAGTTTAAGGGCTAGCCCCCGTTACTCAATTTGAGTAACAATCTTAGTTACTCAAATTGCACACAACTTGTAAATAATTGTAAATTTAACAATATTTTATCACTACCCCTTTTCATAAAATCTGCAGCAAACTTGGTTGCACAGTCCCCAAGACACAATTTGTTAAGCAAAAATTAGTAAAAAAAAAGGCCATGTGATTAATTGGATGAGAGAGAAAGTAACAACACAAACACCCACCTTGTAACCCACCCTCTCACCACCACTAAGCAGCTCGCACCATCACCCAAAACCCACACCAATCAACTCGCACCACCACCCAAAACCCACCCAACCAACTCGCACCGCCACCAATCAACTCGCACCACCACCCAACGAACCCACCCAACCAACTCGCACAACCAATTGACCACCTTACCACCTCCAACAAACCGAAACCCCAACTAACTCGCACTACCACCACCGACCACCCGACCACCAATGAACCCACCCAACGAAGCGAAACAGCCACCTTACCACCTCCAACAAACCGAAACCCCAACAAACCACCACTAATTTAGATCTAAACCCCAACTTACCACCACCAAGGAAACAAATCGAAATCCCACCTCACCACCACAAACATCTAAAACCCCACCTTACAACAACCAAGATCCAAAACCTCACCTCGTATTAGTTTTTTAAAAAAAAACATCCACTTTCGAGTTTGAAATCCAGCGAACTTTGAAAAGGGGAAAAGAGTCGGTGGCGGTGACTTTGAAAAGTGAAAAAGGAGGAGGGACGGCGGCGGTGAACTAGCGAGGTGAAATGGTTTGAGCAGTTGTGGTGGTGCGGTGGTTGTGAGAGAAGAAATAGAAGAAAGAATAGGGCTGCCTGGTGGCGGTTGAGAGGGAGGAGAGAGAAAAGTTGGTGATGTTGGTGGTGGATGTGGTTGTGAGGGAGAAGAGAGAATATGAGTTAGGGTTTTAATTATGGACAAATTAATTTGGGTTAAAAAAGTTAATAGGTTATTTATTGAAGTTAAGTACAATTTAGTAAGGGTAAAACTGTAAATTTTCACAAAATTACTATATTAGGAAAGTTTTTTTTGTTTTTGTTGCACATAATGTGTAGCTTCTGTTTTGAGGATTGTTGCAGATTTTATGAGACAGAGGTAGTATTTTTTGCATATGACTCATTTTATTCCTCCTTCCTTCCCATCATCACAACCACCACCATCATCATAGCCAACATCTCTCTAGCCGATCTTCTTTTCCCTGTCGACCTCTGATCTTCTTTTTCCGCGTCGATCGTCGACCTCCTCTTCTTGGAAATGGAAATGTAAGGATGAATGAGAGGGATGTAAAAAAAAAAAAAAGCGGTAAGAAGGAGAGCGGAAAATGTGGCTTCCCTTCTTTTATAAAGAAAAATGTTTTCCATCATTAAGGATGAATTTTCCACCCTTGGGAAAATTGTTTTCCACCCTTTTCTATCCAAACAGAGGAAAATGGGGAAAAAAAAATGGAAAAATCATTTTTAATAAAAACATTTTACATTAAACCAAAAAGGCCGAAGTGTAAATAAGTTTAGATAAATACTCCCTCCGTTTTTAAATACATACTAGGTTAGATCTACGGAATACGGAGTAATAGTCTATTTTACTCCGTTTTAAAGAATTTTAACAGAGAAAGCGCTACGCAACTCCCAACCAAAAAATAAAATCCGCAAAACCGATTTGTGATTTACGTTCTTCAGTTTTCAGACACTGAAGATCCAATCCCCTTTTCTTCTTAAGCACATTCATCCTCCTTATTAATACGACCTTGTCAAATTCGTTGACTCTTAACCCCTTTACATTGATTAATTCATTACCATCTTATCACTTTTGTGTTTCTTCGTACCATTTTGATCCATCTCACATTTTTCATTTTGTGGTTTCATCACTTCAACGTAATTCTCTCATGGGGTTCAAGTTAACTTCACAATGGGTTGATATTTGATGCATAAGAAGCAAATGGGTTCAACTTTTTTTTAGGTAATTTGCTTGTATTCTTTCTGGGTTTTCTGAATTTTGATGATTTTTTTTCTGGGGTTTCTGAATTTTGATATTTTATTGATTCTGGATTTCTGTATTTTGATATATTTTTTTTCTTGAGTGTTGATAATGCTTGTAATGTGTGAGTAGGATTTCTTGATTAATTGGTGTATTTATTGAATTTGTTGATTAATTGACATTTTCTTGATTGTGATTGATTTAATTGTTGGATGGAATTGTATTAATTGTTAATTTTGATTATTAGTTGTTACTTGCTGATGCAATTTCTTGAAATGGAAACCTGTAACTTTTTTTAAAATGACTATTAAGCATTTTTGGGGCAAGGTATTAATTTATATTCCCAAAATAAGAAATGCAGTTAGATTCTTTGTATATGTGTGATTATAATTAACTTTGAGTAACATTTTAAGTTAAGTGTCTGGTGTAATGTGAGTTGATTGTGACATCATTACAATCACTTCTTTGAACTAATACTAGTTATTGTTTTTAGTGTTCTGTTAGATACTTGTATTTAGTGTTCTGCTGATTGATCAAATGTAGGTATTTGTTTTTGTTGTGGTTAAAAAGAAAGTAAAACCATTCAAGAGTATTGATCATTGTACTTTGGTTTCAGGGTGTAGAATCCATAGGCTGTGTTTGGATGCTGGGGTCACTGTGGTTGTTATCGTCAAGAGAGATCTGGATACGTCGAATGTAAGTCTTGAGTTATTATCATTGTTAATTACAATAAGTCTGGGTAGTAGTTGCAAGTTTGGTTTGAAAGGTAACAAGACTCTGCAAGTAATTTTAGGTGTCTCTTAGTTGTGTGAATTATGCAAGAAAACAAGTTTCCGAAGCGGTATTTGATTGTACTTTTGACATTCATATGTACGTCTGTCTGCTACATTGAGCGGGTGGGCTTCTCAATTGCTTATACAATTGCTGCTGATGCTGCTGGAGTCAATCAATCAAGTAAAGGCACAATACTTTCCACTTTCTATTATGGTTATGCCTTATCACAAGTGCCGGGAGGCTGGGCAGCTCAGAAAATTGGTGGCAGACGTGTTCTGCTGCTTTCATTTGTGTTATGGTCGTTGACTTGTGCTCTAGTCCCGCTGGATCCCAACCGGGTTTTCATGTTGGTTGTTGCACGCCTTCTTGTTGGTGTAGCTCAAGGATTTATCTTTCCCTCGATTCACACGGTTTTGGCACAATGGGTTCCTCCTCATGAAAGATCTAGATCTGTTTCTCTTACCACATCTGGGATGTACCTAGGTGCTGCTGCAGGAATGCTTCTGCTTCCGAGCCTGGTGAAGTTTAAGGGTCCTCAATCTGTCTTTGTAGCTGAAGCAGCACTAGGAGCCATGTGGTCTGTGTTGTGGTTTAAATATGCATCTGACCCTCCTCGATCTGAGCATCCCAAAGCTGCTGCTGCTGGTTTTGGGGAAAATTTATTACCTGTTAAAGGTAATCATAAGTTTAAAGTGGAGAATGGAGGTAGCTCAGCTAAAAATTTAAACATACCTTGGAAGAGAATTTTTGTCAGCTTACCAGTCTGGGCTATTGTGGTCAACAACTTTACTTTCCATTATGCCTTGTATGTACTTATGAATTGGCTACCAACATATTTTGAGCAAGGCCTACAGCTTAGTCTCCAAGATATGGGTTCTTCTAAAATGATGCCGTACCTCAACATGTTTTTATTCTCAAATATTGGCGGGGTGGTGGCTGATCATCTTATCACCAGGAAGCTTATGTCTATAACTAAGACTAGGAAGTTCTTGAATACCATAGGATTCATCGTGGCTTCTCTGGCACTGATGGCACTGCCTGTGTTTAGAACTGCTGGCGGGGCTGTGTTCTGTTCTTCTGTGGCACTCGGCTTCTTGGCTCTTGGAAGAGCTGGGTTTGCCGTGAATCACATGGATATAGCTCCAAGATATGCTGGAATTGTTATGGGAGTTTCTAACACAGCAGGTACACTAGCTGGTATTGTTGGTGTTGAGCTTACAGGTCAGCTTCTTGAAGCAGCTAAAGGTGCTGATTATGATATCTCTAGCCCAGAAAGCTGGAGATTGGTATTTGTTATTCCTGGTTTTCTGTGTATCTTAAGTTCAGTGGTATTCGTGATTTTTTCAACTGGGGAAAGAATTTTTGACTGAGTTAGGCTTTCTACAGTTGATGAATAGGTGCCCATTCATACCCTATTTCACGAAATTTTTGCAAATTTATTGGGTATAGAACCTTGATATCTTTCATCATTGCATTGTTATGCTAACAATTTTGAAATTCTGGATTCTTGTCAAGTGACCTTTTGATCAGTAGCTCCTCTAGAATGTATCCAAAGTGCTTTATGTGTGCTTTGGTGGAAAATTACTTTTTAGTTGGACTTCACTGCATACTTGATTGATGCAATGGTTTCTTGATGCAAGAGATTTCGAAGATTGGCAATCCATCCTACAATGCTTACTAATGCTGTTTTGCGAGTAGTCTTCACACACTATTTAATTTGTGATGTGTTGTCTGCATACACAAGTGACCGGTCTCATTATGTCACTTGCTCGTGTCGAAGTTGATAAGGCCAGAGGTTTTATACTTTTATTGGGTTTTTCTTGTTACAATGAACTTAAGAAATTGGGTTTTGGTGTTGTGCTGAGATCGTTATCCCCAAAATTCTAACAGAAAATTGTCTCGTAGTCATAGACATATTCTTCATGTAATGCAATAAGGTCTTCTTTTGATTTTATCATTTGGCTGGTATATTATAGCTGTTGTGCCATCTCTAATTAAGAGACTCGCAAATGTAATTGTTCAGCTTAATAAGAAACATGTAGGAGGATTTTAGCATTAGCATATCTTAAAGTTTTTGTTACTGTTATAAACAATTCATCTTTGTAATATATTTGTGTACCAATGAGACATCTTTTGTATTCTGACTGTCTGAAACACTGTATCAGTGTCTTCTTTCTTGCGTCAACTACTATTTTATTTACTAAAGTGTTTAAAGATTTTTAAAAAATGACACTTCAATGCCCTGCCTACAAATGCTATTTCTTGTCTAAAATTTTGGTGTTTATTGTATTGTCTGAGCATGTTAGAACAAGATTTTGTCTAGAAGTCAGACATCTTCACAGATTTTCCATTGACAGGGGAAGGGTTTATTGATGACTTCATGATGATATAATTTCATCATTTTATTCTGAGATTTATAGCCTTACAGACATGCCTGATGTGTTGCAAATAATCTTTATTTGTACTCTTGATCACTGGGAGAGCACGTATTCTGCAATAGTTGAACTATCTTGGTAGCAGAGTGTCTTCCAGAGTGCAATTGATGGAGTGTCAGCCGGAACTATCTATGGTAATCATATATTATGTCTCAACTCTGAAGCATAGAGTATAGAATCAGCTCAGAACAGCATCAGGTAAGAATTATCTTTATATAGAGAATTTTCCATGTTTGCTATCTCATCCATTTAGTTTAGGAACTTGACAAATTAGGAAAGATAGTAACTCAAAACTTCTTACTTCAGGGATTATAGTTAAAAAAATAAAAAATTACTGAATTCGGTAGCTAATTTTGGAAGTATGTCAGATATATCCAATTCTCCAATTAGTTTAGATTTTATCTATGGCATATATATCCTTAGAACAGTATGTCAGACTTGTCTAAGATAAATAGGTGATCTCTCTACAATTTTAGCTGATAATGTACTTGGTTTTCCACTTATCTTAGGGATCCTTTACTCTTTTGTACTGCCAAGTCGATGCATAATTGCTGAGTCTGTCAAGAATTGTGTTGCCAATTTAATACTTTGTCTTACTTAAGTAGTAAGCTCCTGCGCTGCTTTGGACCAATTATTTTTTGTAAACTTAAGGCCTTCAGTAATGTGACTAACGTCATAGAGGCTGATAATTGCCATATGCATTTAGTTTATTTGCTTTTTTAGTCCCACTTAGCGCTTTAAGGTCATGCAGTGACTGTAATATTTTATTGCTCCTACTAGAAAGTAGAAAGTTTTTGCTGACAAAGTCATAACATAGACATAGCAAGTTTGCCTGATTTAATCTGTGATGATCCACCTGTTTCTGTTATATGGGATCATGGATTATGATTACTATGTTTTTCCTTATGTTACTCCATTTGATATGGACTGACGTGATAGAACAGTAGGCTAAGATTGCACGTTGCCCCGGGTTTATATCCTGAATGTCTGATTGCAACTGGAAGCTAAGCCTATAACCGAAACCTGTCTATGCTTGATGGAGAAGGTTTTCACTGTCAATGGGGATGAGCTAACCTTGATACTACTGAGATAAATGTCAACATAAAATTGGACTGTGCTGATATCGGTTTATTTGGTAGACTACAGAATTTATACTATTGTCCTGTTGATGCAATTTTATACACTAGAAGAGTTTTGTGCTAACCAGATGAAAGATGTTGGCAAGATTAAAGAAAACTTGAGAAGTTTCTGGTTCTTTAGTAACATGCCTCGGTGTCTGTGTACGTGTCCATAGATAAGACTACGATTATATGGATATCCCCAAACCCTATAGACACTAGGTGATTGATAATGTTGCTGTGTATTCATAATCTTATTACATGCATCAGAAATGTTATGCTAGTGGTAAACTTAAGCTTTATTGTTTGTCTGTTGACAAAAATAAATGCACAAAGACAGTTACGAAGTAGTTAATAATTTTGATAACTCATGATCCATTGTACAAAGTTACATCAACTTCATGGCTCAAAGTTCACTGCCCATCACTGCAAAGCATACATTTGTTCACACTATTCCTCATTAAGTTATTACACATCCTATCAGTTTTCACTTTCCAGGAACGAAGTTGGTGGCAAAAGCCCAGGCGTTGTTAGCGACTGGATCAGCAAGATGGTCAGAGAGGTTCTCAATGGGACCCTTGCCGGTAACAATAGCCTGTACAAAGAACCCGAACATGGAGAACATAGCCAATCTCCCGTTCTTGAGCTCCTTTACCTTCAGCTCAGCAAAGGCCTCTGGATCGTCTGCAAGACCAAGTGGGTCAAAAGCTCCACCTGGGTATACCTTGTCGAGCCCTTCACCCAATGGTCCACCACCAACACGGTAGCCTTCGATCAAACCCATGAGGACAACTTGGCTGGCCCAGATAGCAAGGATGCTTTGGGCATGGATCAAGTTCGGGTTTCCTAAGTAGTCGAGTCCACCTTCTTGGAAGATTTGGGATCCAGCCTTAAACCACACGGCCTCACCAAATTTGACACCGTTCTTGGACAGGATTTCAGGGAATACACATCCCAGGGCACCAAGCATAGCCCACCTAGAGTGGATCACCTCGAGCTCACGGTTCCTGGCGAAGGTTTCGGGGTCTGCTGATAGTCCAGCAGTGTCCCAGCCGTAGTCACCAGGGAATTCACCAGTTAAGTATGATGGAGTCTGCTCTGAGAAGGGGCCCAAATACTTAGGACGGTCAGGACCGTACCTGCATTTTATTTCCAGATGTTATTAAGCTTACAACAACACATTTGTTCTGTTTCAATAGATTATGTAACTCCTAATTTTTATTTTATTTTCTTCTCTTTTTTAGTGACAAGTATTTATTGAAAATTTAAGAAAATTAGTTGCAAACTGTAATATAGTAATATTGTCGTCTAAATTTTGATTGTACATGACAAAATATACCTATGATTGCAAGTACTGATTCATCTATTCAATTAAAACCTTAAACATTTTGCAAAAGTTAATTTCTACTTTGAAAAAGAAAGTTCACATGACTAGTTTAAGTATAACTAGTTTTTTTCTTAAATCATATTCCCTCTGTTTCTAAATAAGTGCATCGCTTGTTTATTGAATTCCGAGTAGCTCAGGAGACTGAGGTACTTACCATATGCTTTGTGGAGCGCTCTTGACGGTACGACGCATAGAAAACCGGCCTCCGTTGCCACCAACCTTGCGAGCGAGCTCATTTTGTTGCTTCAAGATGGTCTGCCCAGCAAATGCAGATTGTTGGATGGTTGAAGTAGCCATAGTAGTAGTGCTACACTTAGTTTATCTGCTATTCTACTTTGCTAGTGTGGTGTTTTTTATGAGTTGGTAGTTACTATAAACTGATTGATTATATATATACTATTGATGTTTGTGGCTTATGATGTGGATGAGGAAATTTACACATCACCATCTTCCTATTGGCTATCATCTTAATGTATGGATTTTCATGCTGATTTTTTGGGTGATAAGAGAGGCTGTTTTTCTGCCATCTAAGATTGTAAGATTTTGTTCTTGGATATTATTTTTTAGAATAATGTACACCACTAACTTTGTGGACAAACTGTTGGATTTGCATTAGATGGGTTTACTTCAGTTTTTGTTTATCTTAAAACCATATCTATATTGGCATATTGCATCATAGGGGAAAGAATACTTACTTTCTTCATTCTCTTAATATTGTATCACAAGGAAAAAGACGGATAATTTAAGATGAAGAAAGAAAGAGAGAGATTAAAATAGGGACTATGTGATGTGGAGAGAGATAAAAGAAAGCATATACATATATGGTAATGTTGTGTAAATCTTTCTTAACTGGTATTTGTTGCAAAGCATGCATGCAATATTAGGGAATGGGGAAGTATTTGTATGTGAATAGTATTTTACACTATTTATTTTTGGATCTGACTTTTTTTTATAGGAAATTCTCTTTAATAATACTATATTTTTTAATTTTCTCTGTAGTAAATTGTAAAAATACCTATTATCATTGGTAAACTCTAATTAACTACTCCCTTCGTCCCTATTTTTTTTTGCCCCATTAGACTTTTCGCGGTCTCCAACAAACGTCTTAAAACGGTAATATCTAATATACAATAAAAAGTATCCAATAAGATCTCTCATGACTATATTATCACTTATAAATTAAGAGTATTTTATGGTCAAAGTTTATAATGTTTGACCCCAATTTATGCCTTTGCAATAGGGCAAAAATTTAGGGACAGAGGGAGTATAATTCTCTAATGGTGAAATTAATGAAATAATTTACTAAATGGTTAACCATGGTTAACGTTTATTTTAAATAAAAAATTAAAAATAAAACTGAAACAACTAAAATAATAATAAAAAAAAAATAATAACTTGTAGGGAATATTTCAAGCGTTAATCCCCATGCTTGAACCCCACTGTGATCATACACTAAAGTACGGTGGCATCCAAAGGGAAAGAAGATAGAGCAAAAGAGTCGCCAACAAGTTTTAGGAACTTGTAAATCGTTCACGAGGTGAAGGTTACACCCCTTAACGATCCAAGAGATCGTCAACTCCATAAAGTCTAGAACCAAATAAGGGTTCGGGGATGATGGTACAAATCAAACCTAAAAGAGGTTGAACCTGCCCTAATAATAGGCCTCTATTTTATTCTGATCGTATTCATGTACGCTTTTCGACTAACATGCAATCAATAGGTTTAACCCTAAACCTGTTTATCTATGTTGGTTGAATATTAATGAACAAATAAATCTATTATTGGCGATCACTCGAAATTATAATCAAATTAACCCTAAACAAGATTATTAATTATCTTATTAAGCACGATTGCATGTGCAAATTCCCTTTAAACATGCATAAAAGGTGTGATCAAGCAATAACAATAAATATCAAGCAACATAATAATCATAATAATAATCATGAATAATAATAGTAATAACAATCATCATAATAATCATAATAATAATATCATCATAGATAAAATAATCATCATCAAAATAATAATAATAATAATAATAATAATAATAATAATAATATTCATAATCATCATAAATTATAACAATTATAAACATAATCATGTTCATGTTAATATTAAAGCATAATAATAGCAAGATCCTAGGCATGATACTAACAAGATTAATAACAAACCCTAGCATGTCACTAAGCAATAAAAATCAA